TGTGTGTGTGTGTGTGAGTGTTCAAAGCAACAAACAGTTAATAAATACATATTCCTCGCACTGGTTTCCAGTGGCAGCATAATGTGTACATACAGTATTACGTTCACGGTAATGGTTTCCATTTGTCTTGTGTTAGTCCCTTTTTTCCTGTTACAGCAAAGCACAGGAGGAATAGTAGACAATATTATGGTCGGTTGATTGATGAATCCATGGGTGAAGAAAGATGTGAATGTGCTGGTAATATGCTGACTGAGTAGAGACAATAGACAGGATATAGTGAGATGACAGGTGGCTGATACAGAGGGTTTTAGTATTTCAGGAGAGGAAGGCAGAGACACATGAAAATTGGTGGCTGGATCACCAAAAAGAGAAAGAATGATCAAAGAAAGGACCTAATTTACTAACGTACAAATAGATGTCTGCTCAGTCCCTCAAGAAAAATTCTAATTCAGTGAGCCTTAGTGTATCATAAGCTTGATTGGGAGTTTGGAAGAAATGTGGCCAAAATGAGTTACTATGCTATCAGGAATAGTGCAAAAGGCCATTTATCCAACAACTCTGAAGAACATTAAAAGCTCATTAAGGAACAGTATGTGACTGAGCCTCAGTGTCAGAGAAAGGATCACATTAACAATATTAAAATTTAAGACCAACAGATCTACAGTAATGGACCAATTTTGGAAAAAGCTAAGCTAAGTGGCATCCCCATATTGAGCTTTTCCTCACTATTAAAAAAGGTAGAGGTGGTGTTAAGAGCACAGTCAATTCCCTTTTTTTTTAATTGTTGTAGACTTTGCATGACTCAAAAAATAAAAAAATATTGATGTAACAATGATTTTGATGTACACAAGAACTTGCAACAGAAACCTCTGGCTAGTCCTATAAAAGATGAGAAGTAAACAGAGAAAAAATTGTCCTTTTATAAAGGTGGATATTTTACAGGTTTTACTGTAAAGAAGAGGGCAGAATGAATGTTTGATTTCAAAAAGAAGGAAAACTATCTTTGTGTAAGCTTCTTGCTCTGTAGGTCTGAGATTTAGGTCCTCACTTGCTTTAGAAATAACATAACACTCATGCTTCAATCTGAGGGCTCGCATTTGTCATGTTGAGTTGTAGGATTAATTCACTAAGCCATTGTTCATATCATAAATGTTTGTACCTTTAACTGTGTCTCCGCCAAATAATAACGCATGACATTGGCAGTTAATTTAAAACAAATATATTTATACCTCAGATATATGTTTGTTTTGTATCATACCATTTTATTTTATTTTATTGTAAATGTTTAGCTTTGTGTTACAGAATTGAACAAATGTTTTATCTTTTTTATTAATATTATTTCTGTACAGGTTAATCAAAGTGCACTATTAAATGTATTAAAAGAAAATCGTGTCTTCAGAGTTATGTAATAATGGGTACGCAGGGAGAGTTTTCTGTCCAAAAAGTTGTGGATTTGTTCTGGTTCTGCTCTTTAAATCCCTCATAATCTCCTCAGTCATTTGTTTACACTACAGTTTGTTTCACCTTCTCAGATCCAGACTAACTCTGGATTTCCCTCTTCCCTTCCTCTTACATCCACTTTTCTCCGGGACTAAATTCCACATCAATAAATCCATGACTGGGCCAGAGAGGTGATGAGCTTAGTGCAGTGGGGTATCAACCTGCTTGGTACATGGTGATCTCACCCGTTGTCTTGCTTCTTACATAACAATTTCATATAGCAGAAAACAATGGGGTCCGTTGTATCGAAGCTGGCCTGGTCTAGACCCAGTAGACTCAACGAGAAGGGGGTAGAATTAAGGCGACAAAAAAAGAGGGGTTCAAGGGTCAGAGTGGGGGACTAATTTATCCCTTTATGTTTTTAATCACTTGACAAAACGAGTAGTGTCTATCCGTAGGAGGAAAAACATCTTCACAAAAGTGTCACATGCTGTACTTGTTTTGTTCACGCTTATCCAAACATTTATGATCTATAAAGCTGGACTGTGTATTTATATAGCTCGAAGACAGGGACTTTCCAAACGTGTGCAGTGTGACAGCAGAAACAAGTGTTAACTTGACTGAATGCCCACGGCCAAGACGATGCATTTACATTTTGTGCTGGCATAGTCACTTTGTGTACCCTCGGAGAGAGATTAACCAGAGACACACACACAAAACCACAGATGTATGCGTGTTCTTGCCTTTGAGTTTGTGATGTACATTCAACATATTTGTCTTGAATAATATCGTCCTCTATAAGCAAATTCTGTCTTCTCTCTCTTTTATATTTCTCTTCTTCTGTGTGTGCGTGCACTCAATCACTCACTCCAAATGCATGTACATTTGTACGAATTTTTTGCTGGGAACCCAAACACCTCTGGGAGATTATGCAGGGCCAGATAAGGCTGACCAAGAGTCAGTAGCGGGGCTGCATTCCTGCACCGTTGTTTGAGAATCAGGCTCAGAAGGTTTCCCACATTGATAAATGAACACAAACATGCAAGTGCATGCTTGCATGTATGTGTGCATTTCCCCATTCCAGTTTGTCAAGAATTTATCAAAAATGCTTCTCTCAGTTTGAAACAGGACACTGTGAAGGTTATTTGCTGGATCCATACCAGGTGTGCTTTTTGAATTCTTATTCTATGTTATAGAACTGGGGATCTCCTTCCAGAACCAGAAAACATAGCAGCACCAACAGGCTTCAACCAACTGCAAAACCAAAGGATAACAAACTTGTGAAATTATGCAAACAATAACAATTTTCTGAGTCTACTTGCACAATTCATACTGGTCTTCGTTGCACATTTGACAACCCTGGCATATACACAAAACAGTTGGCACCACCAGCATTAACACGCCTAATGTAGATTGTTTTATCGTCCACACCAACGCGAGTAGTGAGTTGTTGTGCCAAATATCTGACAGGAACTCTGGGTCACATATCTCCATGCAGACTGGAATTCTCTGATGGATTACTTGTGGTATTGTTGTGGCAACAGAAATGATTTGTCATCATGATAACACTGTGTTTTAAGAGTCAACATGGAAAAGAACGACAATGTTTCTACAGTTGACCTCATATCATTCCTCCTAATATCTTGATATATTCCAGAAATTCCAAAGGCTGCAAGTAAAGTTTGTAAGAAGGAAAAAACAGATCTGTCTGTCCAAAAATTGAGGTTGGTGTATACTTATGAATACATACGTATGAATTCAATGGGCCCACACACACACTCTCATACACATAGTCTAGTTTTTTTTTCCCAAATGATGGCAGTCGTTGAATGTACCACCACGTACATCCTTGTCTGCCTCTGGCTCAAGATGTTCATCTTCCGTCCATCAAATGTGTTCTTATTTAACATGTGTGGCACTTAAGTGATGCAAGGCATTGTCACTGCTGAAATGTCTCAGGTCAAACACAAGGGGTCACTGAACTGGAATATAAGTCCCAAGTAATGTCTGTTTTACAGTCCGACACTGTCCTCTGCTGGTTGTGTTGAATAAGATTTGCATGTTGAACCACAACATAGACTTCTCTGCATTCTTCAGCCCCCATATTTACTGGGTAAACACATAACACAAATACATTGCTAAAAAAATGAAGGGAACACTTTGTTGTGCAACCATACTTTCGGTTGCAAGCAGGTTTGCTGTGTTTCCTAGCACAGGCTCAAGAGCATGGAGGAGATACTAGGAGACCAGCTATTGCACAAGGAGAGTTGGACAGGGGGCATCAACACAACCACAGGGCCGGTATCTGCTACTTTGTGCGAGGAAGAACAGGAGGAGCACTGCCAGAGCCTTACAAAATGACCTCCAGCAGGCTACTGGGGTGCATGTTACTGACCAAACTGTCAGACTCCATGAGGGTGCCATGGAGCCATTCCCGGCCTCATGTGGCCATAGTGTCTAGGTAGTTCCTGGATGAACAGGAGCCTTGGCCCTGACCTAAATCCAATTGAGCACCTATGGGACGTTATGTATCGGAACCATTCGTTATTGTACCAAGCACCACCACAGTGAAACAAACCCAGGATATACAGGGCAGGGAATTTAAGGGGACAGTTTATAGGGTCCCTGGGTCCCTTCTAGCTTCAGTTTTTCAGCTTTTGGTAATGTCTGATTGTTACTGATGATATTGTTTTGGTTTACTTTTGTATGTAAAAACACATACATTCATAGCTGCATTGTCTCCCCCATAGCACTTCTCTGCCTGTCTTATTGGAGTAATTGGATGCTATGGCCACTAGAGGGCACTGCTCTTCCACAGTATACAAAGCTGCATTAGGTTTCACACAAACCTACATTTGGTCTTTTACAACCCTTAACTACATTATTTTCAAAGTTCTCCATAGCACTATACATTAAAAATAGATGAATGAGCATTATCATTAGTAGAAACACTGATATTTTTTTTCAATGTGACTTCACAAGACAAGATTATATGCAGCATGCCTGGTTTAATTCACAACACGCTAACAGCCATTTGACATATTTGATTAACATAGTGTTTACTGGAGAAGTTTTAATGCTGGACATTATTTTCTTGTTTTTGTTATTTTTCAGTTTAATTAGCTTTTTCTGCTGGTTTGGCTCACTAGGATGTCATAACAGTATTGTTTTTATTTTCTTGCAGTTAGATAACACATTTCATGTTTTTCTTCCATTTGTAATTGGCACACACAGCACAACATGTGTTTCCTTAGAGGTGTTTTTATGACCTCAAGGTGGAGGCTATATCCTGTTTTATGGTTATTATAGTAGGCCTCTAATTACTATTTAATAACTCACAGTACAGTTTGTATTAGTGCCCTTAACATATAAAAGCATATAAAAATCTGTTGTTTTTTTTAACCTGTTTATCAAATTTGTTTGTCAAATTTATCTCAAATAATAATATTTTTTCATAAAAAGAAAAATAATTTAGTTGACCCGTTGTTGAGTCATTTAAAAGGCTTGTAAAAGCAGCATCAAGACACCATTATGTTCTTGTAAGGTCATTTGCTTTTGCCATTTTAATTATTAATGTTACTAACTTTAGCTTCTGTGTTGTAAAAAGATTGCACGAGATGACAGGTGATGATGGGAGGTGACAGACATGTAACATGTCACGACAGCAGATCTGCAGTAAACATCTCTTGTGTCTAAGCTATACTGGGCTTTGAAAGCTGGATTGGATCCAAGGACCAATCAGTAATGTTGGAGCTTTAGCCTACATTATGTATATTTACATATATCACTATATCACTTTCACATTTCAAAACTGTACATTTTACATTTTACCTTGTGTATATAGATATATTTATGTATATATTTAGGGCCCGAGCACTGAACGTGCGAAGGCCCTAACACTTGAAGGAATTCTTCTTTCTTTCTTTTTTCCTTTCCTAAACCGAACGCATATTTGGAAGCTTGCCATGCTCTATAAAACATCATGAAACTTGGCACACCATGTTCAGTCGTGGCGAAAAATTTTATATTCTATGTGTCGCTTTCGGCGTTGGCACTAGTGGCGCTACTATCATAAAATGCGCTATTAGCTAATACCAGCGTCTTCTGCATGAGGTTGTCGTCGCACAGTTCAAAACCTTAGCATCCACCGGCGCTGGGGCGTGCCGGGCGGGGAGAGTCAGGCTGAAAACAATCCTACGTACGTACGCGGCCCACTTCGTCTAAGATTGGGGGTGTGTTCGGTCACAGGCTAGAGTCCGCAGAAGACAGGAGCGAGCGGTCCGTGTTACCTATAGCCGATTTTTCGCACGCATGGTCAGGTAGACAATGCGATGGGAGCGGAGTTGTGCGCAACATTCGCGGAGATTTTTTGAGAGAGAATAAGAGCACGCTATAAAGATTACGCCCACGTTCCTGTGTGTCTTGTTGTCGTCCGAAAAAGGGAGAGGAGCGCATATCTCCACTTTCGTCCGAAGGTGACACCAACTTTGGATTTGTTGGTTTCCAATTCACGTTCCCTTGTCTTCTTCAGGCGTGGCACAATTCCTCGAGGCCATTCACGAGGTGGTGCTGCTTTGTAAAATGAACACTTGCATCAGCACGTGCTGATTTACCAGAGGAGAGACTTCGTAGGAGCTCTGCCCATGTCGAGGCGCCCCGAGATAAATGTGTCAACGATCCGCACTACAGTGGGCGCTCCTGCCTGGGAGGTCCGGAGGTAAATCACTGCTGAGAGACGCGGCCGAGCCAGGCACAGTGTGACCTGAGTAAGTGAAATCCGCCACGTGTAGCCACAGTGGACTGATCCACACGTACCCCAAACTCGCATGTTTGTCTTGTTGGCGCACCTACACCCCTTTAGAAAATAGCGCAGCCGCACGCGGTGCATTACACCAGACAATCATCTGACGCCATCGTAGGCCCCACGTGTGCAACGTCCACCGCGATAACCATAACCTTCTGGACCCCATACCCCAAACAAACCCCCACCGGAAAGCAGTACAGCCAGTTTTGGATTATTCATTCATTCACTTTCGGTGAAATTTTCGCCGTTGTGAGGGTCTGACGAGAGCGCTCCCTAGGGATTCATTGGGATCTACACATTTCAAATCGCTGGTCAGGGTGAGAGAGTAGACCAAGAGTGTGCTGCTGTAACAAGTTTGCTATGTGTTTGCCACCTTGACATTACACAGGGACGTGTCCGTGCCGTGGGCATCACGCTCCAGGGCTTTGCGAGCTCTGGCTCATTTCTCCGAGGGGAGAGGGGTGCTTGCTGAGTTGTGAACGAACTCCTCCTGCACGCCGCCTCATCGCTTCAACCATGGCCAGCTACAGTCAAAGAGGGTTCCTGATTAAGAAGGTCTGTGCTTATTCGTAAGCAGGGCCCGAAGGGCGGTGTCCGTGCCGCGGAGAGCCGGATTGCGAATCCGCCGAGCATCTCCATGCTTCCTCTTGTGCTTAACTAACTCACACCTCGCTACACATTTGACCTCAGCATTAACTTAAATTTCCGATCACCTGGGCGTCGGCCCATCTAAAACCACCATGGTGAACTCAAGACAGTTGTCGCAACACGATGCACGTTTAGACCGCGCGTGACCCAGTGGTCCGAATTCCCAGCCGATTGGGGGCACATCACAAAACACACTTAGTACTGATATCCGGTTCTCAGTCGAGTGAACCACAATCCTCGACAACCTTGGCGCGGAGCGCGCGAATGTCGAGGGCGAGACGACTGTCACACCGTTTTCGACTAACACCGTCCGCGCGCCCGGGTGGAACACCGTCCTACATGACGGATATTCCCAGAGTACTCTGAGCCGGCCAGCCCTACCGGCGCTGCATACGGTCCCTGATTCGTCTACTTTCGAATTTTCCACTGCTTCTGTGGTCCCGCCAACAGTGTTAGCGACGACACCTACCGCGGGACGCACAGCGAGTCTGCGAGCTGGAGTTGCGAGGGCCCCGCGCGCCACACAACAAGCTGCCCCTAGAAAGGCTTTACGAGTTAACTAGTGTCCCTAACTAGTCTATAGTGGGCTATGTTATAATGTTTGTGCATTGTTCATCCTGGAGTTGTAACCGGAACTCCACGCGCCGCGGGGCCGCGCCGCCGACCTAATTTCCCCCTGGGATTATTAAAATATTTCTGATTCTGAGAACTTTATTATCCACCAGAGTGGAAAATTGTAGAACATGTAGCTGTAAAAAAAAAACAACAACTAGTAACGTGTAGAAGAAATGTGGCAACAAGATAGCACTGAGTCAAAAGTACACAACAGTACACAAGTAAATAAAAATAAACATTTGGTGAGTTTCTCAAGTGATTGTAATTCAAAATACAGGCCAGTGGCCTTATCTAAGAAGCAGATTTATATCCTGATAACTGATAACCTGATAACATCACTAACCAACATGGAAGCCACATGAAAATGCAAATGGCTTTCGGGGAATCTACCTCGATGTCTTTGTGTGTATTGCAGGGTTTAGGAGCAAATGAGTTAAAATGAGACGCAATGCTCTTTTATTTGACTAATATTTAGAAAGTATCAGGCAGATGTATTCAGAACATGTATTCATAATCATCAAATACAATACCAGACAAACTATTCACTCTAAGTCAGTGCATAGATTTTTCTTTTTTTTTTTGTGCAAAATGTGCTGACACAACTCTGAGATGTTCAGTAATCAGGGCACCCAAAAAATTAAGGTTACTGTGTAATATGTGATAGAAAGCGACAATAAAAAGGTGTGACACTGGTTAGAACACAGCTAGGGCAGCTAAAATAAATTACATAAAATTTCAACCAGAAGGTGTTACAAAATCTTATTACACAACCAGTTTTGAGGGGGGGGGGGGGGTTTCTAAACAGTTCAACTTACAGCTTTCCAAAAGCCCAAATTACTGATACATATATGAGAAAGGAGTGACACGTTTTTGTTGTTTTGTTGTTGTGTTTATTGTTTTATATCAGTAGCTGTGCAGCTGCAGTCCGGTTTAATGGGAGCGCTGTGATCTGGCACAGTCACTCAACTTCACTACGTCTCTTCCGTAGTTATGAAACTTTCGAACGCACGTTTTGTAACCCAGACGTTCTGACCAATCACGGCCCGAGAACGCCGCTCACGTGACGGTGTTTTTTTTATGTAACGAGTGTCTCTACGAGAAAGTCGTTTTCTCTCCGCTGTCCGGGACCGCGGCAGCTGTAGACATGAATACACACGTTAACACAAGAAAATCTAAAGCCACATAACATTTAAACGCTACAATGTCGCTCCAACAGCAAGTGGAGGACGCCACGGAGGAGAGAAGCGCCTTCTTCATCGGCGCTGACTCGGACAACGTCTCGGAGGAAGAGGAGGACCACCATCAACTTATACTACAGAAAGCTAACGCTCTAGCATCGGAAAACTGCCTCAAAGAAGCCATTGACTGGTTCTCAGTGGCTATGCGGTATGGACCTGTGCGCCCTGAACAATTAAGCACTTTCGTGGACTGTGTCCTCCGCAACTTTAAGAGAAAAGCGGCAGGGCCAGAAGCACTTTCGGGCCAGAGTCTGGATGCAGGGGACAGCGGCTCTGCGGACGATGTGTTTGATTGTCCCAGCTGCCACAGCTTTCTGGGTGAACCTGTGACCATAGCCTGTGGACATTCGTATTGTAAAAGGTGTTTACAACGACGGCTGCTCTCCAAATGCAAGCTGTGCCGTGAGACTGTAACGGGAGAGGAGAAAGTTAATGTTATTCTGTGCGGACTTTTAGAGAAATGGTTCCCCGACGAGCTGAAAAAGTCGAAAACGCTGTGTCAAGTGGACGAGCTGTGTCGACGGAAACGCTACGAAGAGGCCGTGTCGCTAGCCACCGATGTTATTCAGCGTGGTAAGTTGTTAACATAACCTTACATCCATGTTTTAAGATGAGGGAGGGGTTTCCTGCTAGTGCGCATGCTCAGTGGGGGGGNNGGGGGGGGGGGAGAGATATCTGTGCGTTATTGAGAAGTAACCCGATGACAAAAACAGGATGTAGTATAACATGATACAATATTAGGTTTTGTTTGTTGTCGGTGGAGCCCGAGGGGTGTAAGTAGAGTGAGTTCCACTGACCAACATTTTGACAACACTATCACTCCCATCATGTGTTGTACTGACGCCAAGTTCCTCCTGTGGGCTGTCGTGTAACCTGCTTACGAAATTTCACAAGCTGAGCATGCGCAGTCAGTGCCAGTTGCATAAGGCAGGTCATGACACACTGGGACAGGTTTTGTAACTTATAAAAAAAAAAGGAAAAAAAGGGGGGAGGGTATTTGTGTTTTGTGATTGTTATGGCTGTTACAAGCCAGGGGTTTCATAAATGTTTTAAAAGGGAGTGAATGCGCGATTGGTGGGTCAGTTTAGGAGGCAGAGGATGGAGGTCCAGATCCACTCAGAGGGAGTTGTTACAGATCCTGTCGTTATGCAATGAGAGAAACTAGGCTACTTCTATCACAGTTGATTTATAGTTAACAAGCTAGTGATGCTGGGTGTTTCTGGCTGCTGGTGCAAATCCCAGTAGTTGCTGTGAAAGCTCGCACAACGATGGGCTGATGTGCCCTAAAGCAAAGCATCAAACGCCCAGCTGTTGGAAACCCTGCATGTTCACTGTGCAGTCCCTGGGTATAAAGGACGGTTATCGTGGCCTGTATTACAGTGGCATTTCATGGTAGCAGTAAATGATGTGATGCATTGTGGGTATGGCACTGTCTTGCAGGAGACACATTATTTCCCATTTTAACTTCAGAACCTCTGAATCCCAAATTACCTCTAAACCATGGTGGCTTTCCTTTTCATTAAGCTATGTTATGCTCTTGTATTCAGGGGTTTCCAATAGAGATTTTAAAGGCCTTTTTAATGTATTGTTGTCATAATGTGGTGGTTGGGATCCATGGTGTGTGGGTCCAATGATATAACTCATGTGAAACGTTGCTGTCTCACTGTTGACCTCTGTTACTTAAACATTACCTGCAGGATATGAAGGGCAGATTTAATCCAAACTACACTGCTACAGTTAAGAGGTATATATTGGTTACTTACTCGCCACCTTTACGTTGTATTTTGCTACTAGCAATATTTGCATTAGGACAACCTGCTGTGTTCCTGCATTGTGTCACTCAGGTGGACTTATAAAAACAGTGAACCAGAGTCGGCCGGTAACCAAATGCTCACTGCACGTGCTACATAACGGTAATGTCTGTGGTTTAGTTCTGGGACCTTTTGTTGGATGTCACACTCTTCTCTCTCCCCCTGTTTCCTCTCTGCCTCCTCCGTTAACGTGAAAAGGCCAAAAATAACCTTAAAGAAAAAGCGGTTATGAGGATAACAGGTGTCGCACCTTCCCACAAGACTGTCACTTGACATTGGTTAAGGGTACAGACTGATGTCCCCGTCACTGTGATGTCGTCAGACCACCTGTTGTGGACAGTGCTGGCCACAGGGCTGCACATATCAGTGGGTGCTTCACTAATGTTGTGATGTCTAGACAAACTACCTGTGGTCTTGATCACATTAGTATCTGCCATACATCAGGAAAATGAACTAAATCTCGCGTGTCTCACTGAGAGGTAATGCATTACTTGGATTGATGGTGTGCCGTATGCTGAAAAATTGCTGCTCTGTCCGTGGAGAAGATTTTACTCATTGAAGTTTTGATGGAGCGCTGGTGAACTTAACCCACTGGTATAATTCATTATTAGTCTGTCATGTCTGACTGCTTCAAAAGGTGCAGGCTTGCTCACAACAGATTGACATATTTTCGTAATAATATAAATGCCAAATGCCTGACTTTCAAATGAATACAATGGCCTGGTTTATATTTATTTATTATCCCAAATAATAGTTGTTTTAGGCTTCTTAGTTGTTTACTATAGTTTTGAGTACACACCAGTATTTGTCGCTCTTGTCTCTCCTTTAATACAAGTTTCCATTTGGAACAGAAATATAAAACTCACTGGTCTCTTGCAATTATTTTAGGTTTATGCAACATATTTTTCTTTTGCATTGTTAGAGGATCCAGTGCGACAGTTAATATATATTTTGTGTTTGTCGTCTGTTGATGTAAAATACGACTTGCAGGAAATTACAGATTAAAAAAAAAAACAACGTAATGTTTTGTACCTGAAAATATTGTAGGTTTGCTCATTAAGTTAGTTGGATGTATTGATTAGTATGGTGCTACTTGCGCTATAGTTCATCACATGAAGGTAACCCACGGTTGAGAATGATATCTGTTTAAAGTCAGATGTTGTGCTTTCCAGTGTTCAAAGAAACACGTTTTTTATAGCGAATAAAACCTTTTCTCCCCCTCTGTCCATTTCATCACGTCTCTTCAGATCCAGAGACGACAGCGGTAGTGCGACTGTCCCGAGCGGAGGCGTACATGGCTCTCAAACAGTACCGTCTGGCTTTGGAGGACACAGAAGTTTGTCCCGGATCCAGTTGTTCTGCCGAAGTATGTCGCTCACTGATGCTGCAGTAATTCTGCATTCTGTGCTACTGACACTGAAGTTTGTATTGAAAACCCCTTCTGTTTAGGCATGTGGTCTTTATGATGAAAGGATTAGCACTGTCAGATATGACTATACCAAATTTAATGCCAGGTATTCTGTTGGTGCTGTAAGGATAGTGTCACTGCCAGGTTGTGTATGCATGTTCCTGTGTAAGCACTTGGTGTCCCAACATTACTAAGAAAAGGTGTATTTTAAGACTGCCGCCTCCAAAGCCAGAGACTGGGAGCACCTAATTTGTCGCGTCATTGAATTATATGCCAGATAAGTAAGTTTGTTCATACATTTGTGTTGTTATAGAATACAATTGTACTAAAAGTTCATTTAAGGTGTAGGTCTTGGAAGCTTTTACTGAATCTAAGTATATAAAAATGTTTTATTTGTAGTAGTCCTATTTGTTTGTTTACAAGACCTATTTTTAACCACCTCCTTCTATTTTTAATATTGTATAAAAGGCCTTCTCTCAGGGTAAATAAGTTATGAAAGAGTATCATGACTAAATAAGGTTTTCTAGACCACAGCTGAGAATGCAGTGATTAAGGTCAAAGCCAGTAATGAGTTACATCAGTAACAGGAGATCAAATGTCTGCGTTGAAGCCTAGGATGTTCTTTATTTGTGGTTCAAAGTATATCATGCAAAGCACTTGCAGAATTGGTAATATATAAATTTACTGAATAGCATAGAAATATTGCTTTTAGAAAAAGCTACATCTTTCGCTTGTGTTTGAGGTTTATCATGAGTTCTGTCTGGCTTTTGTAAAAACAGTAGCCTTATTTGGATCCAATGTTTTATTAAGATCCAGGCATACTACATGCTAGTACGGACGTGTGATTTACCTCTTTCTGTCCTTTCTGCTCATTCAGGCTGTGTTTAGGAAAGCTATGGTGCTGCATGAGATGGGTCAAGTGGACGAGTCTCTCCAAGTCTTCCTCCAGTGCCTGGCTTTGGACGAAGACTTCCCCTGTGCTAAAAGACAAGTGGAAAAGGTGAGAGGATTTAAGAGAAAGCAGTCATGATTAGTCTGCTGGCAGTCTGGGCAGAGAAAAAGACAAAGTAGTAGACTCTGTTGTCATCCAAAAGTCTGGCAGTCAGTTGAGTTTAGGTCACTCACTGTTTATGTAAGTAGGTTGGAGGAGCTAGCGTCAACACATTGTAAGCCGAAAGCTTTTAAGTCAAACTTTTTTTGACTGGATAGCTGTGACCATAATGATGTTTATTGCACAAAGTCATTTGTTTTGTTTTTATAGCCAACACCTGCTGTTTTACTACATTGACTTAATG